CATGGTTCATCCCTTTCTGGGAACAACACTTCAACTGTACGTTTGCTTTGCATTCGAGACGAAGTGAGTTTGATATGAGGAGATCCAAGCGCTGCACAGGTATGTCAATGTTATATTAATATACAATCATTTAAAATTCTATACTTTAAGTATATTATGGTAGCAAAGAATTTCTTACACATTGTAAGGATAAGTTGGAAAATGAATAAAAGTTATAATTATTATAGAAAATAGTAAACGTGTTATGCGCTGATAATTCATAACCAATATTTTGCTACCTACTCGAGAATATAAGCTATTGTTAATAAAACAATAATGTTAATGTGTTTATAGGTGAGGAGAAAATATGGAAATATGAGCAGGAAGGTTTAGTGCCCTTCGTGGTGGACGCAGTCTATGCCATGGCTCACGCCATACATAACCTACTGAAAGACCGGTGCGGACGGGACGGCAATAAGATGTGTCACCCGAAGGAGTTCATCAAAGGCTCCGATTTACTCCAACATATTCGTAGCGTTTCCTTCAAAAGTAAGACATTATTTTGTTTATCAGATATTTCTTACGAGACTTTTTAATTAAAGTTTGCGCATAAATATAGCGGCATATGATTTGTCAGACAAAAAGTTAAATTTATTAATATATTACTGACGAGAGAAAGAAAGTTTCGGGAATACAGAGACGTGTCAAACATCAGAAATATGTTGTATTTACTAAAAATAACTATTGATTATTGAAAGTGAAAACTATTTACCGATTTTTCTCATATCAAACATATTGTGCGCATATTCTTCAGCGCTGTTTGAATGCAAGAATTGCTTTTAAATTATATTTCAATTTATTCTTACATATTGTGCACAAAGAATATGTTTTATATAGATATTCGGTTTGAATTCGTAAGCAATTATGTAAAAAATCACACAAAAAGTAAAGTATTTTATTAAATATTGTATATTATCATAGGTTAAATAAACTCTTGCCCTTTCTTTTAATCTCTCTCTCTCTCTCTCTCTCTCTCTCTTTCTCTCTCTCTCTCTCCTGTGATTTTTATCCTGTGATCATTGGATTCATTATCGCAAATAAGTATTGAATGCGTAAACCATTGACTTGAAATTCAATTTATTTAGCAATTATTTGAAATGTGATTTCAATTGTAACTCAAATACTTTCTTCTGCCATATATTCAGATAATCATCAATACATTAATTTAACTTAATCAAGAAAATTAAACATATTTTTTATATAAATAACAATAAAAATTTCTAAACGTAAAAACATTTTATTTGTGGCCAGAATTTGACAAATAAATGTATTTAAAAAAAAGTACAGTTATTATTTATCACGATTTTGACTCCCGAAGCAAATTCTTAATAATATTTATGCCCACAATGTACTCAATAAAGTACCGAAAAAACTCATATTTCATAATATGATTCATTCAAATCAATCCATTTATTATTTTTGCAAATTTTTATATTAAATTCATTTATAAATGTGCTCGCTCATCAATCATCATATGATTCATCGCTGCGAACATGTTTTTATGATCGCAAAGGCTTGAGATATAACTAAAAGACTAATTTTATTCACTTATATGATGGGCACAAAAGGCTATAACTATGTCTAAAAAATTAAGTCCTTAACGACTGATATCTCACTCATATTTTAATGCGATTTCTATATTTACACAAAAAGGTACTGACTTTTTGAGCAAACAATTTCTAATTCAATTAACTCTCCATTCAGTCAATTGAAAAGAATTTAATTATGAATTTTAATATTAGCTAATGTTAAATAAAAATCTTAAACAACTTTAGTCTTATATACAATTGAAGGTAAAAACGAGATATTTAAGGAGCACTGATATTATTGTAGTGAACAACTCATCCGTTATTATTTGCACAAAATACTTGTTAAGTTTAATAGATTTTATATATCTTAAATATTTGATACTTTAGTCTAAAGTTTCATAAAACAAACAAAAACTCTCAAATAGTCTGCGAATTGTGTATTCATTCATACATACAGTTCTGTATTATATTTAATATATTTAATCCAAAGCTTTGTTGCATAGGATAGACACCAAATTTCACAAAAATATGTGATAAAGAATATGCAAACACAAGAATATGTTAAAACTTCAATTATATGCTAAATTGGAAATTAGTTTCATGTTTATACTGAGATTACTGGATATGCACCGAATTTCATAAGTTTAACACATTTTAACTCAATTCTCGG